TGATAGTGCAACCTGAGGCAAATTACTTAAGACTTAAAAATGAAGATACTATTATCTGTAGGATAATTTAAGGATTAAGTAAATAGAAATGATAATATATATGAAGTACCCCTTTAGTATAGAAGCTAGAAGTTGTTTAAAAGCTAATTTTGGTCTGTAGAGATAGCTCAGTGGTTAAGAACACTAACTGCTCTTCCAGAGGACCCTGTGTTTGGTTCCCAGCACACACATTGGGTGGCTTATCTGTAACTAGCTACAAGGGATCCAGTGCCCTCCCTTGGCCTCTGCAGACACATGGCATTCACTCACATAGATACATGTATACATACATACCTAAATAAAGATAATAAAAATAACTTAGAAACCACAAAAGCTAATTTTCCTTCATGTTCAGAATTTTTTAATTTTGAGAAATTATAGAAAGATTTGCTTTTACATATTCTAGAAATATTCCTGTTCCCTTGCAGGTAACACTGTGATTCACTTGGATCAAGCCTTAGCCAGAATGAGAGAATATGAACGTATGAAGACTGAGACTGAAAGTAACTCAAATATGAGATGTACCTACAGGGTTATTGAGGATGAAGATGGTGCTGCTGCTGCTGCTGCTACTACAATTAATAATATAGAAGGTGTATTTTTAGAGTAACTAGAAGTAGTACTCATAGTTGCATATAAAGATGTAAAAGGTAGCTGGGCATGGCTATAATCCTAGCACTCAGGAATCTGAAGCAGGATGATCGTGCGTCAAGTCTAGTCTTGGTTACGTTATTTTATATGTATGAGTGTTTCACCTCCATAGGTATAAGTATACCCATGTTGAGCAAGGCCAGCAGAAGTCAGAAGAGGTTGATAGGTTGATGGATCCCCTGGAACTAAGAGTTACAGATCGTTGTTAGTCACCGTGTGGATGCTGAGAATCAAACCTGGGTCCTCTGGAAAAGCAACCAGTGCTATACCTGCTGAGCCATCTTTCTAGCCCTGAATCTGTGCCTTAAAAAAAAAGAGAGAATTCAAGGCCCTTCCTGATAATAATGTGGTTTTTTTGCTACTTTTTAAATTTTACTAGGACTACTGAAACTACATAGATTTTTTTTTCCCCCCCTTTGTGTTAGTTTTTTGAGACAGGGTCTCTCTGTAGTCACATCTGACCTGGAACTCTAATGTAGACTAGGCTGGCCTCGATCTCACAGTGATCCACATACCTCTGCCTCCCGAGGACTGGGATTAAAGGTGTGCACTATCATGCCCAGCTCAGAAGGTTTTTTTGTTTGTTTGCCTTTGTATTAATTTAATGTAAAATTATTATAACATTCTTTAAAATGTTGTGTTAATGCATATTATATATATATATTTGTTGTCATTGGATTTTGCTGACATACCATTTTTCTTAAAAAATAGAAACTCCCATTATTGAAAATCATACTTCACAACAACCTCTAAGTGAAATTTCTACCGTCCCATGTCCTAGAATTGATACTCAACAACTGGACCGCCAAATTAAAGCAATTATGAAAGAAGTCATTCCTTTTTTGAAGGTAATCATTTTTTTAAATAAACCAGCTTATATTATTAACAGTGAATATGAAATTTAAGAGTGGTATTTTATTTCATAAAATTAACTAGGCTAAGAAAGGAATATGTAAGAAAGGAATGGTAAGAAGTAGAATGTGGTGGGGTGGGGTGGCACATTCCTTTAATCCCATGACTCTGGAGTCAGAGACAAGAGGATTTCTGTGAGTTCCAGGCCAGCCAGGACCACATAGTAAGTCCCTGTTTCAGAATAAAAATAAATTAAAATTTTTAAATTTTAAAATTGAACCTGGGTCCTCTGGGAAAAGCAACCAGTGCTATTACCTGCTGAGCCATCTTTCTAGCCCTGAATCCCTGCCTTAAAAAAAAAAAAAAAAAAAAAAAAAAAGAAGAGAATTCAAGGCCCTTCCTGATAATAATGGTTTTATTGCTACTTTTTAAAAAGTAAAAATGGAATGAGAAGACAACACTCTGAAATCACTCTACAGCCTCATCTAAAGTGAGAAGTTGAAAATTAAAAAAAATAAGGATGAAAACTTTGCTTTCACTTCAGCTTCGGGAAACTATATGATGTGCTGTCATTGGGACTCATTTCTAATTTTAATTTCATTTCTCTGTACTTTAATTTCTCACTATTGTACTGACTAGCAAGCTACTTACATATCCCTGTATTTCTTTACTCAGTGCAAGTAATATAGTTCTTTGGCATATCTTTGAGAAATTGTAGAAAGTGCTTTCTATAAAGAAACAGCATAGTAGTAGACTTCATAGGCAAAAGAAAAGATATCATCTGTCTGTACACAAATTATTTCATGTAAAAGCAGGAAAATTTAGAGTGTTCACTTAAGATGCATGAAGCCATGGATTTGATCCCCAACACCACATAAACTGTGCATTTTGGTGCTCACCTATAATCCTAGCACTAAAGACATGGAGGCAGGAGGATCCGAAGTTTAATGTCATTCTTGGCTACATAGGGAATTTGAGGCCAGCCTAGGATACATGAGACTCTCTCAAAAAAACATAAATAAGCAAGTATGGAAATAGTTTTTTGAAATTTTCATTGTGTATATTCATTTTACATGGTACTGTGTTACATAAGAATATTTTTCATGCAAGTATTTATTGTACATTGAATATACCCCTACCATGCCCCCTGCCCTTCTCTTTCTCCTTGTCCCCCTCCTCTTAGTCCCTTTGTTCCCCTAGACAGTTTCACTTCTATTTTTATGTCATAAATTTATTTATACATTCATGATTTTATATAGCTAGAAACCACAAATGGTAGAAGTATATTTGATTAACATTGGCTTAATTTGCTCAATATGATTACGTCTAGTTGCATACATTTTCATGCAAATGATATGACCTCACCTTTATGGGTGAAAAAATTCCATTGTGCAACATTTATCCATTCTTCTGTTGTTAGACACCTACCTTGGTTCTATAACTTAAAGCAAATAGTGCTAGAATAAATGTTGATATGCAAGTATCCCTGCTATATGTTCACTTCAGTCCTTTAAAATGAAAAGTAGTATAGCTCACTCGTATGACAGATTTTTGAGAAACCTCTTTACTGATTTCCTTAGTGGTGGGACTACTTTACATTTCTACCAGCCATGTGTAAGGTTTCTGTTTCATCCACATCCATGTCAACATTTGTTATCTATTGCCATTTTGACCTTGGTGAGATGGGATCTGAATGTAGTAGTTTTTAAAAATTATTTTTATTTATTAAAAAATACTGTATTGACTGCATGTGTATAAGTGCACCTGTGTCGTGCACTGCCCGCAGAGGTCAGATACCTCATTTGGCTTTTTCCAAAAACTTCTTTAAAAATTTTATTTAATGTGTATTGTTTGCATGTGTAAGTGCACCCATGTCATGAAGTGCCCATGGAGGTCAGAAGAAGGCATCAGATCCCCCAGAATTGGAGTTATAGGCAGTTGTTAACCACCATGTGAATGCTGGGAACTAAACCTAGGTCCTCTGGAAGAGCAACCAGTCCTCTTAACCATTCAGCCATCTCTTCAGCCTCCTCAGTGTAGTTTTAATTTGCATTTCTCTGATGGCTAAAGAAATTGACTATTTTTCCATGTTTATTGTTCATTTATATTTCATCCTTTGAAAATTACCTGTTCATTAGCCTATTATTTTATTTATTGTTAGTTTTTTGCATTCTATGTATATTCTAGATGCTAATCTCTGTCAGATGTCTAGCTAGAAAAGATTTTTTTTCTTATTTTATAGGTATCTCTTCACTCAGTTGAGTGAAACTTTTCTTTGTTGTATAGATGCCTTTTAATTTCAGTTCTTGGTTTTTGGCATTATTTCCTGGGTAACTGGAATCCTATTCAGAAGTCTTCACCTAAATCTTAAAGTGTTTCCTATTTCCTATAGCAGTTTCACAGTTTCAGGTTTTTCTAGGTCTTTGACCAATTTGGAGTTCATTGTGTATATTCATTCCTATCTAGAGAGGAATCTAGTTTGATTCTTCAGCATATGAATACCCAGTTTACCCAGCATTGCTTGTTGAAGAAGCTGTCTTTTCTCCAGAATACATTTTTGGTATCTTTGTCAAAAAGTCAGGTGGCTATAGCTGTGCATGGGTTTATATTTCATTTCCCTATTCTATTTCATTGAAATCAATGTCTCTTTTTGTGCCAGTATCATGTTGTTTTTGTTTTTATGTTTTTGTAACATAACTTCAAATCAGATATATTGGTATTGGCTCCAACATCATTCTTTTCGCTCAGGATTACTTTAGCTTTCAGAGGTTTTTTTTCAATTAAAAAAAATTGTTCTATTTCTGTGAAGAATGGTGTTGAGATTTTGATGGGGATTGCATTGAATCTGTACATTACTTTTGGTAGTATACCCATTTCATTATATTAAGTCGGCTGTTATTCTCATATGTTTTCTTTTATATGTAATTTGTTTTCCTCTTGAAACGTGTCCAGTATCCTCTCTTTGTTCTGTATATTTAGTGTTTTTACTGTATTATGTTGTGGGGAGTTTCTTTTCTGGTCCTGTCTATTCTGTGTGCTTCTTGTATCTGTACAGGTAGGCCTTTCCTTAATTTAGGGAAGTTTTCTCCTATAATCCTGTTGAAGATCTGGTCGGTGCCACTGACCTGAGTTTCTTATTCCTCTGTGCCTAGATTTGGTCTTTTCATGGTGTCCATCATTTCCTGGATATTCCATTCCTGTGTTTTTAAAATTTTTTCATATTCTTTGCTTGAGTGATCCAGTTCTTCAACTTTATCATCAAATCTTGATATTCTGTTTTTCATTCACTTCATTTTGCTAGTAAGGCTTTCCCCTATTTCAAATTGGCTTCATGAGCTTTTCAATTCCATCTTCATTTCAGCTTGAGTTTTCTTCAGTATTTCTTTTTCAAGAATTCACTTTTCAAATCCTGAATTGTCTTTGTCATTTCATTCAGCCACATATTTGTATTTTCTTGAGCTTTAGCCAGGAGTTTATTCCTATCCTCTTGAGTTGTTTATGTGTCTTTAAAATCCTTCTTTGATTATGTTTATGATTGCTCTTTTAAGTGCTGCATCCTTATGTTACTCTGGCTAGTTCTCGTTGTAGAATACTTCGTGGTACTGGTGAGACCTGGAAGGAACATAATTTTTTGTTTTGCATATTATTTGTGTTTTAGTGTTGTGACTTGGGCATATGGACTTCTTTTATTTGTTGTATGTCTGATAAAGTCTAGCCTGCTTTGTTGAGTTGAAGTTTGATTCTGCTTTTATTTTTGATTTACCTTGGTTGCTTTCTGATCAGGTATGAATAGTTGGTGTGTGCTTCAGGTTCTGACTTTTACTTTTTTATTGGAGTAATGGAATGCTTCCAGGTAGGCTAGTTGGTATCTCTCTAGCAGTGTGAATGGGCCTCTTCCTGAAGCAGGAAGATGATGACCAAGTGGGCAGGATCTGACTACCTTACAAGGCTAGTCAGGAGCTCAAGTGCAAAGGGGCAAAGGGGCAAGATATTTTAAGGTTTTCAAGGCTATCATGAATGGGATCATTTCCTGGGTCTCTTTCTTTGTATGTTTGTTGTTAGTATATAGGAAGGCTACTGATTTGGGGATGTTAATTTTGTATCCTGCTTCTTTGCTGAATGTGTTTATCAGCTCTGGGAGTTTTCTTGGGGAAGTATTTAAGGTCTTTTGTGTATAGTATCCTATCACCCGCAAATAGAGATATTTTGACTTCTTACTTTCTAATTTGTATCCCCTTTATCTCCTTTACTTGTCTCATTGCTGTAGCTAAGACTTCAAGTACAATACTGAACAGGAATTGAAAGAGTGGATGGACATCCTTTTCTCATTCCTCATTTAGTGGAAATGCCTTGAATTTTTCTACATTTAGTATGATGTTGTCTGTGGGCTTGCTGTATATTGCATTTATTATGTTGAGATATGTCCCCTAGATTCTCCATGACTTTTATCATGAAAAGGATATTGCTTGCGTGTTTGTAAGTACACCAGTGTCATAATGCCTGCGGAGGTCAGAAGAGGACTTTGGATCCCCTGGAACTGGACTTACGGACTGCTGTTAGCCACCATGTGGGTGCTGGAAATCAAATCTGGGGCTGGACCTCTGCAGGAACAGTCAGTGCTCTTAACTACGTAGCCATCATCTCTCTAGCACAGCAAATATTCTATTGAGAATTTTTACATTGGTTAATCAGAGAGATTGGCCTACACTTTTCATTTTTGGTGGATCTTTATCTGCTTTTGGAATTAGGGTAATCCTAGCTTCATAAAAAGAATTTGAATGTTCCTTTCTTTTCTTTTTTACAGAATAATTTGAAAAGAATTGTTGCTTGTTTTTATTTGAAGATTTGTTAGAATTCTGTTCTGTATCCATTTGGTCCTGGCCTTTTTTTAGTTGGGATATTTTTAATTACTGCTTCTACATTGGTTGTTAGGGGTATATTGGAATTGTTTACTTCATGTTGTTTTAATTTGGTAGGTCATATATATGATTTTTCA